TGAGGCTGGGGTCCCTTGTTTCTCTGAGGGAACCTCTGTGGTAGAGGTATCCTAATTTTCAACCGTCACACTGAGGTTTGGGGCCAGCCCATTTCACATCTCCGCCCCTCCTACCAGTCTTGATGTGGCTTCTTTATATGTTTAGTTATAAAACTTCTGTTCAGCTAGACTTCGCATGGTTCTCCAGGTTGTTCTACAATTCAGTTGTAATTTTGATGTGTTCACGGGATGAGGCTGGCATAGCGTTTACCTACCACGGCATCTTGGATCTCCTTCCGCCTCCAACGTTTCTGATGAGAATTTGGCTGAAAATCTTATTGAGGATCCCTTGTATGTGAGAGTCTACTTGTGTTTCAGATTTGGCCTGATCCTCTCTCTCGACTGTTTGCTGACAATGTGTTTCGCTGTGGATTTCTTTGGACTTATCCTACTTGGACTTGTTGAGCTTCTTGGATGGGTCGTTTTGACTTTTCCAGAAGTCATATAAATGGACTCATATAGCATGTAGCCCTTCAGGCTGACTTCTGTTACTTAGCAATTTGCATTTAACATTCAACAATGTCTTTTTGGGCTTGAAATTTCATTTCTTTTTATGACTGAAGACTATTCCATTGTATGGGTGGTGTACCAGTTTATCCGATCATCTATTGAAGGACGTCTTGATTGCTTCCAGGTCTGGAAATTCTGAATAAAGCTTCTAAAAACATTTGTATGCAGTTTTTTTTTGTGTGTGTGTGTGGACATATTTTGAAACCAGTTGGGTAAATTTCTAGGAGTGCTATTACTAGAGTATATGGAAAAATTAGATTTAGCTCTGTAAGAGCTGAGTCAGTTTCAATAAGTTAGATTTTTGAGGAATTTTTATATTTTATTTTCTTTTTCTGTAACTTATCCTTTTAACCTTTTGTCAGCGCTCTCTGCCCAAGCAACAGTCATCTACTGCCCCATGCTAAATTCCAAAGAGCTTTTTCTTCCCAGAGTATTTCACAATTTTTACCCAGGTTTCTTGGTTTTCTTTTGTAACTTTTTGTGGAGGGACCCAACAGCCTATGTACTGTCCCTATCTTGGAGAGTTTCTTATGAGAGAAGTGTGTGATTCATCCCATTTCTTACCTGATGTTCTTAATCTTACTAACATACACCATACAGGATAAGTTCATATTTTTGTTAGCCTTGGGAATCCCTCCCTTAAGTGTTCTGATACCACATTTAAGGAATATAGTTATACTTCCGATATATTGTGGTTTTCATTCCAGACCATGCAATACAGCAAATATTGCAATAAAGGGAGTCACATGATGTTTTTTGGTTTTCCAGTGCATATCATAGTTACGTTTACACTATACTGTAGTCTACAAAATGTGCAATAGCATTATGGCTAAAAAAACAATGTATATACCTGAATTAAAAGGACTTCATTGCTAAAAAATGCTATCATCTGAGCCTTCAGCAAGTCATAATCTTTTCAGCGCCTATAGACTTGCTGGATTCGGGGTTGCCACAAACCTTCAATTTGTAAAAAATGCAATATCTGTGAAGCTCAATAAAGTGAAGTGCAATGAAACAAGGTATGTGTGTATAAAACTAGAATTTGCAAAGATTATATGCTTTTGGAAGGTTAGTACTGATGGCTACTTATCTCCTTATAAGGACTTAGCCCGACATTCTGGCAAACTACCTCTAAGAGGAATGTGGTATTTAAATGAAAGATTTTAAAATTGTGCTAAACAGCTAATCATAATAATAGTAAACTAAACTATAAAGTACACCATATTTTTTTTCCTAC